AAGGCGAGGAATTGGTACAACCCATTCATCCTAAAGGCAAACATGTCCCACCAGATTACGACAAGGGACCAGTCCCTACAGTTGACGATCACATACTCGGTACCAGAGACATCTGTCATGTAACAGACAGTTGCCCAGGTGTACATTTCATGGGAAGACGGGACCCGCGCAGTGAGGGGAAACAGCAAAAGATCCAATACAATTCGAGCAGGGATACGACAAGACTCCTGGGGTTGGAGAAAATCGAAGCAGAGCTTGCATTCCATGCCCTAAAGCCGACATCCGACAATCTCATAGAAGACGAGCCGGAAGATCATGTGAATGACCGGAGCTCGGAGCCTTCTCGTGGTTCTGAATAGAGTCGCAAGACTCCTGGAAATAGATCAACAGCGAGTCAACTAGGCTTCTCATCGAGAACAGAACAATAACAAAACATTAACAACTTGTGTTGGTGATGAAATGACGATGATAGTTCGCGGCTAGTCCTTCCTGAGAGTTGCTAGTCAGCAATGGGCCCTATAAGCTCAAACACATCAGCCTGACGTAAATCCTTCATGCTATAAGTCAGAGAGTGAAGAGTTAATAGCCATGATAATGAGCAGGCAATCACAGCGTTCTTCTATGGTGTGTTTCAAGTGTAAGATTCGCTAGTACTTCGTAAATATCATTGACACTGGAAGTTTACGGCGAATTTGAAGACTGAGTGGAAATATATTACTCTATTATTCATCAAAAACTCGATGAAATCCATCGCCGTGGTCTGTAAGTCTGACAACGATGTCTATGCCAGAGAGATGCGGTTTACAGAACCAGAATCAAACACGCATTTCTTCTGGTGATATAAGACATTGGACGGTCTGGCACAGTCTGTTTGCTCCTTCGTCCTCTTGACGCTGTTCATGAGTCAAAGAACAGCTGTCTTTCCCCTTCTCATCACTGTGTTCAACATCAAAGGACGGACAACAGCTTTCATCTACGGACTAGGCTCACATAGACATGAAGTCGATGGATAAATACATCTTGGTTGCATAGCACACTTACACGTGGATAGCCTTTTCCCCAATACTGCGCAAAGGTCACCGTCAATCCCTAACGCCTCTCGTGAAAACACATCTCAACCTCGACAAGTAAATCACCAGAATATGGGGCAATGCTTATCTTTCCAACCCAAACCATCCTACCAAAACGAACGAAACGTCCTCAGGAGCAGAAGTTTTCTAGCTGATCCAGGCACTGAATGGAAACCATACGGGCGGAAACCCAACGACAAAGAATGGATACAGAACTTCGTAGGCCTGAACCCAGAAACTGGAACGGCTACGGCGAGAAGTAGTGAGGTCATATAGACGACCGGGGCTCGAGACCATCTCAGAGCTCCTGATGGGGTCTTCCCAGATTGCATCGATAACAAGTCATTCGAGTTCCTCACCGAGAATGAACCAGCATCGAGACATTGAAAACTTTGGGCAGTGCGATGGGTATTGTTATGAGGCTTGCAGATCGAGGCGTTGGGTTCATGTTGATGGATGGGCTCTGAGGCATCGTAGTTTTATTCGGTCATTTGAGTTGTTTGCTGGATGCGCAGCAAGTTATCCTCAATGGTGAACGTTTCAGTTACAATCCAAGTCCATGTCTTGTGAATGCCGCATGGAGAATGGTGGCCACAGCCATCAGCTCCTCTTCTTTCCATGAGCACCTTGACCAAAAATTGATTAAGGCTCTAGGGCTCATATCACGCCATTGCCAGTAGCCTGACTACAATTAATCTTTCCAAGTAGCATTTCTCCAATATCACAGACATTCGACGGGTCCGCTCAAAATTCGCAGAGGGTCAGCTGTAACCTATATATCATCAGCAAGTGCTACAGTCAGGAAAGCAAGGTGGCGGACAAGAGCAGTCGAGACAAGCCCACGGTGTGAGATTGTGCATCGAGGGTGTCGCGAATCTAGGGAAGTGATCTTGAGCCGGCAGCTGTGACGTTCTCAAAGATACGACAAATGACTTCAAGTGCCTGAAAGGTACGTTCGTTGCGTCGTCTGTTGGGGTGTCAGGAGGACGAGCAGCCTGGCATGGCTTGTCTGCTATCTCGCGCCCTTGACGCTGTTCAGACGTCAAAGACGAACAGCTGCCTTTCGCTCTTTCAACTGTGTTCAAGGATCAAAGAATAGACGACTGCTTTTGTTTCTAAATTACTAATACTCGTTCATCTGTATATAACCCCCCAAAACGAAAAGCGATCTGGTTACACAAGATGAACATTTACGAAGTTTCATTAAACCGCCAAAAGAAATCTCGCCAATCGCCAAAGCATTTGAGAAAAAACGAGTAAACCAGCCCCAAGCAACTCGGAACCTATCTGAAAATGAGTCAATGCAAGACCAACCAAACTGATGGCCAAGCCCCCAGCCATGAGCAAGGCAGTTCTGATCCATACCGTGATGATGGACGGGCCCAATCGGTTGAAGAAGATCCCGCTCTTAGAGGAATAGTGCGAGCCCCTCAACTCAGTCAGATCGAACCAAACACAATTGCGATGCAATGCGTAGTCTGCAGATTAGAACGCGGGTGGACGCATGCGAAAGATCTCTGTTGCTCGAAAGAGTGCCGTGACCAGCAATTGGAAGGAGCAGACGAGCCGCAAAGCAAGGATGAAAAAGACGAAAGAGCTCGAGAGGTCGACGCCACACACGACCTCAAACGAGAGACCCCGGGAACACGAGAGAGTCTCTAAGGACCGAGTACCGACGGAAGAAGACATGGAGGTATTTAGTATCTCCAGGCCCCTACTCCAAGATGGTACGAGCGAGACACTCGAAGGTCGTGCAACGGACTGGAGACCGGAACCCTCTCAGATTTCCGAGTGAGGTCGCCTTACCGCCCATAGTGCAGTGAGAAGTCGCCTAAGTTTTTTTTTAGCGAGGATAAAACAATAATGGGACATTGGAAAGTTTGGGAAACATGAGGCTCTGTGGCCTCCGCCACAAGTACCTAAAGTTCAGGGCGTCGGGATGTCTTCTTGGATGGGTTGTGAGGCAACGTGATAACGGTCAGTCATTTGTACCTACTGTAAACCTATAGCTTCTACTAAATTTACGAAGTACAATCTCAGTGTATAAGTAATTGTTTCGCAGTGAAATCTGTGCTCATCTACTTGTTGACTTGACCATGAGCTCCCCTGCTTGTCCACAATATCATCGCCTGGGTGTGTTTCCCTGAAATACGAGCTAGGAACAGATGCAGAGTCATCAAGTGTCCCACAGCCGAATGGGATCCAAGTGTACGTAGGCAAGATATCTGTATGCCACCGCCAGTATTTAAGATGTCTACGCAAACACAGCACCGCCACCGGTGCTCTGTCTCCGCGATCAAGAAAGAGAGGCATATGGCAAAGATGGAGATTTCTACTCGGCGGCAATCGCCAAAGTCGGCGGCGTATTTTCTGGGCAGGTAGTTCACGTTACTGAGATGTTGCTCATTTTCTTCGACCGTATCATACGCCTGGTCCTTCGCCCATACAAATCGTAGCGAGCGGCACGCGGTCATGGAGGAATGTCCATTTCCTCCATCAGCTTCACTACAATGCAGAGAAACCCCGGCCTCCTCCTTATCTCAGAACGAAGCCTCGGCGGGGCGTAAGATCGTTCAATAGAAAGTCGACTTAGTTGATAGACTACCGGAGAACCAGCTGGTCATGCGACTTCTTATCGTCGCCGCAGCCAGATCGAAAGTTGGGGACAGGCTGTTTAACCTTCCAAGGTCCACAGCTGATGCCCTGTCTCAGTAGTCGAACTACATCCATCATTCGGAGATGGGTTTATTCAGTGAGCTGCTGCTCGTGTTTACTTACACATGATGCTCGATTAGCTCGAGACCTCAGGCGTGGCCCCTAACGCGAACAGCGTCCTTGGCCGGGCCTCTCTTTCTCCCGCTCCCGTGGCAATGTTGAGATATCAAAGAAGGAACAGCCTCTTTTACCTGTGTACTCCCAACGAAGGGCTAAGAGTTAATGATAACAATGACACTTCATAGTCAAGACGAACATAACACAGACAGTCCTGCCCAAATTGTCGCACGACACATCGCCAATCACCAACTCACTCAAGAACCCACCTTCATCAAGAAGAAGAGTTCTGAAGATGGCCCAATACTGCCTGCATCACGGGCCCCCGTGCATTATATCTCCAATATAGGTGGGTGTACCGACCTCTCCTCGAGAAAAATCGATCAAGATCGTAATATTCGGAGCTACAGCTCAGGGTATACAGTCGAACAATTTTCGCCGAACTGCAACGGATGTGAACTCGACGGCTTCTCCCCAAGTCGATACTACAGCAACCCGTTTACACCCAACGAGCACCGACCTACCGATCTTGGGGAAATGTACAGACATCAACATTGGCGCAGGCCCCGTCTCCGATTGCGTCAGAGCAGCTCGACGCTCTCTGTGGAATCAAAAGAAAACGGGAGCCGTAGTCCTCCGAAACAACTCGAGTATCGTGAATGTGTGCCAGAGAACATTGAAAAAAGCGCAGCTTCTGAAATAATCACACGGTGAAGCGCGCAAGCCCCGGACACTTACGGAATATCGTGACCAACGAAGGAGGGCATTCCAGAAAAGTGGAAGAAAAGACCCCATCATCTCAACGAGGGGAGTGCCCCAAATGTCACCGCAAGAGGAGTGGGAAACGTGGTTGTACAATCGTGCGAACCCCATCGAAGTTACGACACGAGGTTTTCCTGACCTCGTCTGAGGAGGACGAAGGAAAGCAGTCTAGAACTAGAAATTTGAATGCGTATGTAGAGGATGCGGTAGATCAGACGCCAGGTCAAGGATCATCTAGTGAAACTGTCAAGAAGTACAAGGAATACAAAAGTCGGTTGATGTCCTGGAGGAAGGATGTAGATACCCCTGCTCTTTTGAAGTAAGAAGTATAATGTGAATATGAACACGGCCCGAAATATTAGGAGTCTGTCTAAGTATACCATCGGGTTCTGACTAGCCTGTCAAACGTACGGTAAGAGGTAATTCAACTATTGGTATTAGTATCAAATGTCACGGTAATGGTATTAAAAGGAAGAGAAAGGGAAGCGAGATGAAATAGAAAAGTAGGGACACATCGTAGGATATCAGAAATGTATGAAAGTGATCTCGACCCGACAGTTCCGGCGTTCTCTACCGTCTCTTCGAACGCCCCTTGATGGGGCACATTACTCACTTCGTCTGAAAGCCGAACACTATTCAATGCCAAAAAAAAAGGCATCAAGGAGGTGACGTTCAGAGTACCAACCTCACAGCCCTACATCCAACCAACCATCAGCAAGCTTTTCCTTCTTCACAAAGCCCGCCTCAACCTAGCCACAGGCCCAGCCCTACCAGGATTCTCCCGATGGAACTGCAACACCCACGACTCGCAGCCCTGCAGGTCCCTCGCCGGCTGCCACGTCGGCTCGGCGTACTCCCACTCAACGAGATACTGCAGCCCCGTCCGCGGCGTCTTACCGGAGCCGGACCACCGCGAGTCGAGAATCGAGCGGAACGCCCAGCGCTCCTCGTCGGGCTTCCTGTCGTCGTGGTACTTGACCACGACGCGGCCCTGCTTTTCGGGTTCCGGCTGAGTGATTTCCGTCACGACTATGGCTTCGTGTTCCGCGCGGCGGGTTGTTCGGGGGTTGGCGGTGTCCTCGGAGGACGATGACGGTACACTTACGGATACAGGTTCCGGATTCAGCAGCTGAATTGCGTTAGTTCGTCTGAGCCAGGGGTCGAAGAGAAGGGACCAATCGAACCAGATCTCGGGTGTGAGTCTGCTCTGTGGAGATGGAGTCTCAAACTCAGATACACCGAAGCGCTTAGAAGAGAGAAAGGAAGGCAAAGAAGACGCACCGGCCCGCGACCACAAGGCATCAACCGTCGGCGCCTTCACCCACGCGTTGCAAAAGAGGCCTACGACGCCCATGAAGACCCGGATCGTCGAGCGGCGGGATCCAAACGCCCAGCGGTTCCAGCCCTCGAACTGGGCGCAGAGCTTGACGAGGCAGAGGATCAGGGCTCTGTCTGCGAACTGCGGGCCGGGGCTGGTAACCTGGGTGAGGTACACACGTCGGTCTGTGGGATCCGTGTTGGAGACGACGTCGTCTACTCTGTCGAGGATCGCGAGCTCGTCTAGCTGCGGTGAGGCTTGCGCGTCAGGGTGTTCTAGTTCGATGAGGAGGGTACGGACGACGGCGCGGATGGGCGGGAAGCGCATGAAGTTGTGGAGGGCATTGATGGGGATGTCGAATCTTCTAGCCAGGTAGACCAAGTCAGTGTGTACCGCTACATTTGGTGTGATGGAAGAACGGCGTGGATGATTAGACTGGAAGTGGTAGTCGCTGGGCCAAGTTGATCTGGTTCTCTTACATGGTTGAGCAAAGTTGACTTCGAGAATCGTGGCGTCAACCTTTGGCTCGTCGTAAGTCCACCCGGGCAGGACGTGTCGCTCTTCTAAAGCCGAATTCATCAGCCGGGTAAAGTGCTCGTCTGTGCTATTGTTGAAAGTGCTCTTGGTGTTGCTGTGGTGCCCAGAGACCAGCTTGGACACAATGGCACTACGTAAACCCATGCTGTCAAAGGTATTGTGATATATGCTGGGTGTTGCGTGAGAGTATTCGACTGAGGTAAATACTACAAAGGTATAGTGATGCTGTACAATAAGAATGTTTGATTGAAGTGAAGCAAGTCTATGGTTTGTAAAACGGAACTTTTCTCTCTGCGAGGGCTCTCCTCGAACATATACTCACCATCACAATTGGAAGGCATCGGATTGTGTTGTTGACGACCAAAGAATGGCACGACACTGTGTTTTCTGCTGTGCCACTCGCCTTTCACATAGCTCAAAGATGCCACCACAAATTTGGCATTCACATACAAGGGACAGCCAAAGACGTTGACACGACTACAAAGACTCTGTCTTCAACGTCTTGTCATTGAAGCTTTGGGTTATTGAGACACGAGTCCGTTGTCGAAAAACCTTGATGCCATGGTCCTACAAGATGAGAACAAGCCATTGTTTTGCTGATTGCACTGCCAACTCTGAGCAACTCAGGTCTTTCCCAGACGTCTCACTTGAGAATGGAACCCGAATTAGCAAAGAGAGAGAGAGAGAGAGAGAGAGAGAGAGAGAGAGAGAGAGAGAGAGGCTGAGTGGATTAGCAAGACATTGCCAAGCTCAGAAATAGCAATGCGCTCTGTAGGAAGCCTCCGCAACTTCCTTCGCAAAGATGGTCACATCACAGAAGATGAGACGTTGACAACAAGTGAGCGCGACAGTTAGATGCGTAACCTCGAAATTTCGGGTCACAGATCCGAATGACTAGCCCAGAAGCGAGTGTGCCAAGACCGGGTTGATAGTGGCACAGCTTGTCTTCTCAAACACAGCATGCGGCAGCCCTGCAGTAGACGGAATTCGGTCTTGTCAAAGGGGGAAACACGGCTTCTCGACGACGAGGACGATGAGCGGGCCCAAGCTCCTGACCTTACCATGTGTTGTCCACCATTGTAGGGGGTGACACATGACATCGCGCTGGCGATGGTGGGTAGGTAAACCACTTGGACTCCTTGAAGTAGATTCGCTTCGGGTTGGGTATGAGACTCTACTGTGGTGGATAATACGTGACAGGTGACAGGCTGACCAGTCGTCCCAGTGAGGTGCTCACATGGACGTGCGGGGTGTACCTCTCGCGGCCAGAGATGGCATGGAGCGATCATGAAGGGGAAAGAAAAAGCTAGGGATGGGTTGCTGTGCTCTGGACTGCATGTCTGGGATTCCTCCCGCAATAGGCGCCGAGTAGAAACAGGCACGTCCAATGAGGGGCGGTGCCTGGACAAGCCGCAAGCACCTCGACTTAGCCCTGTGACTGACAGCGCTGGCCAACGAGATGATGCTTATCAGATGAATTATGGGCAGCTTGGAGGCGAGGTGGGAGGAAGAGAAAAGGAAGAAACAAGCGCGACCCAATGCCACTTTGGATCTTGGCCAGGTATTGCGTGTCTTCCAGAGGTGGCTAAATCAACCACTGCCCGACATTGTGTGGCCATAGAACTCTCGAGACCCTTGAAAAAATTCAAGATCAGAGCTCGACAGACTTTTTCTTCTCTCATCGGGCCCAGCGGACGGGTAAGATGCGGTCAAGATGCAAGGAAAATGTCTGCTGTAGGTGTTCTCGACTCGTGCGGGATGGGTCAAGCAGACAAGGGGAGAGCCTGCAGACGTTGGTTGGTCTCTTTACCGTGGGGGAAGACTGCATCCAATGAGAAAAGAATCAGAAACCGGAGCTTAGACTGCGAGATACCCACGAGCTAGACGATGCTGCCATGTATATTCCGCAACCGATGGGTGACAAAGAGTCTTGTTGTTAATTAAAGAAAGCCCAGGGCGGGCTGAACCCGAGAGTCGGGTATGGTGATGGTGCCACTGGTGCTCAGGACGTTGGGTACGACTCGACCGGACTGAAAACGCCCAACCAACTGGTTGCATCGAGTGCCGAGTGTCGAGTGTTGAGTCTGATCAGGTCTGTACGACATCGGGGGCGTTGGTCGCTTTGCCCCGTTGCAGCATGTGTTGCGTGCCCTGGGCCCTGGCTATGTTGCGCAGTACCTTGACTAGGCAGGGAATGCTTCTCCCACGGGGCGTCGGTGGACTTGGCCATTGGACCATCGGTGCGGAACAGTGAACTAGAACATGTCGTAGACGGATTGCTTGATGAAAGACCGTCGGTCAGCAACGTCCAGGGGATATCGGATTTCTGTCCTGGCTAAGAGATGAGGTCAGCGTTCGGGGTCTTGACAGAGTGTACTCGTTTGTTCTACTCCGTATGTACAGACGTGACTGGAGGCACTTGAGATAAAGTAAAGAATCCCCACCGACTTTCCCGGTGGCTAGTGACGATATGATGGCATGCGTCAGCGAGAAAGCAAGGCGTGATTGGTTCTGCCGGGACCTCTCAGTAAGGCAAGCCGGTGTGGTGGACTTGGGTCGTGAGGTCTTGGGGTCTTTCAGATGGAAATTCTCACAGGGTGTCCCACGCCAGTTCTTGACCATTAAGGTGAGGAAAAGTGGGCACTGCGACCTGACCTTCTTATCGATTAGGTTGGAAGGAGGAATCTCTGCCTTATCTTATCTCTGAGGTGCCTTCCAGTTGACTCTCAGTGAAAATGCTTGAATGCGCCCAGCACATGGAAGACGAACCCAGTCACTTGTAGAATGTCTCGATGCCACCCAGACACATGAAAGACTGCATGCGATGTAAACTTCACTTCTGGATACTTGACGGATAGTACTTGTTGGCGATTTGATTTGCTTGCAACTTGTAAGGTCTTGCTTGATACCTAAGGTAGCGAAGGCGATGCTTCAATCCATCTAGGTAAACAATGTGTACGGAGTACAGAGTACCTCCAAGGTGATTAATGGAATGAAGGACTACCTGCCTATCCTGAGATGGCATCTTCATCTCATGTCTCTCAGACAAACCGGAGGCTACCTGGACAATCAGCAAGTGAGGTCTTGTTTTCTCTGGGCTGTTGGAGACTTATTAACCTGATTGAGATGATTTGACTGTTCTTCACCCATTGTTCTCTCTCTCTCTCTCTCTCTCTCTCTCTCTCTCTCTCTCTCTCTCTCTCAGTCCGCTTTCCCCTCCATCACTCCCCCCGGTTCCGAATTCCATGTTCCACCCCCACCATCTGCCGTCACCAATTGCGGTCGGCGACTCGGTCGCATCAGCTGCTTGTCGCATTCAAGTTCTCATCCGCCGTGTCGCGCCCAACAACCCCATCAATGACGTCCTCAGCTCCTCGTAGAGCGGATTCGGGCTAAGGTAGGTAGGTAGGTAGGTAGGTAGGTAGGTAGGTACCTTGCTTCACTTCTCCTTTGCGCTGTTCGACGTGTAGGTACAGAGAAAGAGGACCTGATTGATTCAATCAATTCCTTACCTTCATTGCCGCAACTCTCGACCTTCGACTCGAACTGAGACGCCACCTCTCTGATTGCCCTGCTCTAATCCCCGCCATCCGTCCACTCATCCATCCATCCCATTGCCTTGTGCATCCCATCACCCCCATCCCATCCTGGCCCCCTCTACATCCACATCACCTCGCTCGACCTCGCCGTGTCTTGTTGCACCTTCTTCCCGGTTCTTACCTTAGCAGCCACCTTCCTGCGTTGGCTCACCCTCAGCAACATCTTCTCTCCTCCAATCAGAGCTTCGTGCCTTGCCTTGCAGATACCTCACCATCACCCTCACCCTAACCTCGCCAACCTCCTCTACTCCGTACCTCTATCTAACACGACAGATACCTAATTACCACCTTTACATGAACGCCAGCCGCCAGCGTCACCCCGACTACCGAACTTCGTCATCTTCCGGTCGCTCTCCATACAATCCAAGCTCAGACCACGCCTACCCGTACCTAAAGACTTCGTATCGCGGTCCATCTTGCTCGACTCATCCCCAACTTTTCGTTCTCTCTCGACACTGCACGCCGTCCACATACACCACAGGGAATAATCCAAAGTCGCACTCCATATTTCTACCAATCGCCCGCGGTCCTGCTTCACCCGCTCGCGCCTTCCGTCTTGGCCACCTGGTCGCAACATCATTCCCCTCCGAATTTCAACCACCTAGATTCACCAAGACAACCACAACAATAACAACAGCGAGACTACCTTAGCTTTCCTCACCAGGACGCAATCGCCTGATCACATCGCAACCAAGAGCCACAAGCTATAACCAAACACTCCACCCGACCACCGAGAACACCACGATCACGACCACCATCAACGTTAGGATATCGCGCAAGTCTAAGGGTCCCCAACCACAACCGACCCCGTCGCATCCCATCTCAACACAGCGCAACACATCTGATGAATCGCTGTCGCAGACCCGCGTGCTGCTAGTAACTGGATGCACCTTAGATCCAGTTACACACTTTCTCTTTGCTCCTCCGTGGAGCCTGTCGCCACGCTCCTGGTCGCCATCGCACATCGACGCTGCCGCTGCGCCCCTCTCGCAAAATCCCGCTCGTCATTTTTGGTCTTCGCTCCCCCGCCTCGACCTCTCCGTCTCGTGTCTCTTGACTTTCTTCTCAATCCACCAACTACTGCCAACGACCGGCAGCCCGACTTGTCCAACTGTCATCTTCTCGCGGGAACTACCTGCGTCGACTGTCAAGTTGTCTGATAATATACCAATCGAGACGCGAAGCTAGCCATCGCAGACGGGAAATAGCGGATTGACACTGCGCACAGCTGCTTCAAGTCGCTGCGCTGCAATCGGACACCCGAGCTTAGTCTGCTCACCACAGGACGAAGCATCACCAATCCAAGGACGTCACAGCGGCGCGCACCGCCGCCCTCAAACTGCCAGTCTGGACCCTCGAGCTCGACTTGTCCCCCCAACTTGTCCCCCACACTACCCGACCCGGACGACACCTCGCATTCCAGCTTGTACATTCCACACAGCCCACCATGAACGGCACTCAACAGACCCAAGACGTTGTCGCACAAGAGCC